TTTTTTGCTGATAACCATTTATATTCTTCTTCCAAGCTATTCATTGCTTTATCCCAAGCATTAAGATATTTATATCTTAATGTTTCATCATCAGATAAATAAAAAAGACGACGAGCATATTTATAACTATCCTTATTTCCTGCTCGAGGAAAATCTAACCATTCGGGATGACCAAATTCATTTCCTTCAAAATTTAACCATCCTTCTCCACCCAAACCATATGTTAATAAACGAATCATTTTATGTAAAGCTAATCCACGTTCAATAACATTTGTACGTTCAGAAAAAACTGACATATGAGTATAAACTTGATCATCAAATAGCCAATGTGAAATTGCTTTATCACCAACAAGTGCTTGATCATGACTTTCAGCATATGTGATATTTTTTTCTGACGATCGACGATTTGTTAATGTCCATGTTATATTACCCATATGCCAATCTTCATCTCGTTTTTCTTTTAATAACTTTATAAGAAAAAACCCAAAATAATTTATTTTGAAAAATAACATATATATTTAACAAACTTTAATCCAGACATCTGGTATAGCCATAGCTAAACGATAATCAAAACCAGCACCACCTTCAGATAATGGTCGACATAATGTTGGCATGCCTGATACTTCCTTTAAATATAAGTTTTATTATGAAATAGTATGTCTTTTTTGTCGAAGAATATACTTCAGCAATTGTTATAGATTCAGGAAAAAGTGTTTGAGAAACATAATTAGCTAATTGAAGATAATTAAATGAATCCGTATCAGTAGCTAAACCAAAATATTCATCGTATGTACCAGAAAAAGAATGTGCTATATCAAAAATAATTATCTGAATTACATAATAAATTTAATTAGTATAAGAATTACCAATGCCATGTGAATGATAAAGCATTGATGAAACACCATCGAATCGAAATCCATCAAATTTAAATTCTTCTAACCAATAACGAATATTAGATAGAAGAAATCGCATTACTTCACGTCTAGATTATAAATAAGAATACCATGTATTTGAATAAAGAAGAAATTTCATGGTATATACTTACTCCATATAATTAAAACAACGACTATCCCATAGAGTATGATAACCACGCGCACTATCATGAAAAAAGCAACTTGATGTTCCATCAAACATATTAATTCCATCTTCAATATTTTTACAACTATGACTATGTACAAGATCAAGTAGAACAGTTAAATCATATTTATGTGCTTCATCAATTAATGCTTTTAGATCTTCAGGCGTTCCAAATCGACTAAAAAATATATCGGAATAAATGAAATAAATTTTTTTTGTTGTATAAAACAACCTTGACGCAGCAAAAAAACTGGTTACTTGATAACCGAAACTAGCATAATAAGGATGTTCCATAACAGCCATTAACTGAATAGTATTATAACCTAAATTCAAAAAAAATGTAATCATAAAATTTTGAAAATATGATTTGATAAAAACCTTGTTTAACAATTCGAGGAATGATATTAATACGAAAATTTTCATATGTAGCAATTTCTTCGTTTGATGAACTGATACCTACATGAGCTTCATAGATTTTTAATCGATCACGTTTTTTTGGTTGAGAATATTTAAATTGATATATTTCATCATTAGGTGGATCATAAAATACACCATGATATATATTCGATTTTTCTGCTCGTTGAACATAACGTGACCATGGACAAATACGGTTAACTAATTTTCCATCGGAAGTTTCTATTAATAACTAAAATTCGAATTTATTTATCAATAAAATAATATATTTATTTTACTTTAATTGCTTGTCCATGTTTAATTGCACTAGATCCATCAGATAACGCTGGAATTGTAATTCGCCATACACCCCACTGATCACGTGTAAATGGATATTGTCTTTCTTTCCAATTATCTATAGAATAATTAAAATATTATTTTAGAAAATTAATAAAATTTTTATATTAAATACAAACTAAAATCTCCATGAATATACATTGCTTTTGCACCGGGTGCCCATTCTTTGATATTTATTTCATTCGTTTCATGATTAATATGTATACCAAAATGTTTATAAGCTGATGTAAATACATCTATACCTTGTTCTTCAGTATTAAGTTGTTTAAGAATTTTTTGAAAGACATGATAACTAAAGAGAAAGAGAATAATAAATTTATTTCAAAATTAATTTTACCGTCGTCGAATTTCATCTTGATAGGGAACAAGATATGGATCAAGTTTAAGTAAATTATCTAAATGAGGTACAACAATATTTGCTGCTTCACCAGTTGTTGGTTGTATTATTCTATAATATGTAATTATATACAATAAAATAAAAATATTTTTTTAATTTAAAATAAACCGTTGTAAATTGATCACTCCAGAAAACATTGATAAATAATGCGTGTTAAATGTTTGAAAATATTAGTTGTAATCAAATATTTTTTCTCTTCTATACATACAATAATGTCGTAGTACATACTTTTAGAGAATAGAAAACAAAAGATTTGGTTATCTACATTGGTTGTATTTATTTGTTGTTACGATAATGTTAGACGAAAGAGGTCGACTTATACTGATTTTTATAATTTTTAATCTACTTTTGAACAGTTCATTTATCGTTTGGATCCTGTATAAAAGACATATCTTTGAGATTATATTCATGAGAAGATAGTGAGAAGTTCAACATAATATTGTCTTACATGCAAAAGCATGATTTTTGTTACTTTTAAAGAATTCATAAGAAAATGACAATATTTCTGATGCTTTTGAATTATTTATGGTATATGATTATGCCAAAAATTTAAATACTTCTGTCAGTTGAATAATAATAATGTAAAAAAAATAAAAGTTGTTTCAATGGATTAACATAGACTGGAAAGTAATGATATTTAATATATCACGTTTGGTATAATATATGATAATTGTTTGCGATTGAGGAATGTTGTAGACATTTTTAGGTTAATAATTCTCTTCTTAATTAATATGTTTATTACTTAAAATTTAGAACTTGACGTTTCGGACAACAATGTCGTTCTTATTCAGAAGTGATTGTACATTTCTTATTATAGATATCTTCAGGAGCGTGTAGAAGGCAGGGGGACGCAGCATAAACTTTTAGGAGCAAGAAAAACAAAAATTTTTCCAAAGCACAGGAAGAGGGTGGTACGCCCCTGGATATCTTATTTATATATATTTCTTTTCATTTAATAATGGGACGAATGATATGTATCTCACCGGACTAATACCATATTGTTCGTCCACTGTTAAAAGAAAAGAAAAGAAACATATATAAATAGAATATCTATAATAAAAAAGTGTATAATCACTTTTAGCGAAGAACGACATTGTTGTTCGAAACGTTAAGTTTAAAATTATAAATATTACATTTATTAATAAGAGAGTGAATTATTTACATAACAATGTTCTCATATGTATTTAATATTGTTTTTGGCCTTTTTCTATTTGTAATGTTTATGGATTGCAGTAAGTTAAAAGGTATGTTGAATATAGATCTTGATTCAAGCAATTTTCATGAATTTCCCTATCTTAATAAATATTTAGAACGGCCAATGCAAAGTTTCACACCAGCACAAAAGAAATTCCAACGTGAAATGTTAGATGCACATAATAATAATCGATCTCATCATTGTACTAAATCACTTCAACTTGATGATCGTCTTAGTCGTTCAGCTCAAGATTATGCTCAACGACTTGCTAATTTAAACAAAATGGTTCACAGTGGTACTAAAGGTCTTGGTGAAAATCTTTATATGATGAGTAGTTCGGATAAAATAGCCAATGTCAATGGTAAGTTACTATATTTATACTTAATTATATCATAACTCTTTCTTTCTTCGCAAATTACTGTAGGATCTAAAGTAACTGGTGCATGGTATGATGAGATTAAAGAGTACAATTATACTCAACCAAGTTTTTCAATGAAAACAGGTCATTTTACGCAAGTCGTTTGGAAAGATTCACAAAGACTTGGTGTGGGTTTTGCATTTAGTAATGGAGGTCGATCATTATTTATTGTTGCGCAATATGAACCTCCAGGAAATGTTCTAGGTGCTTTTGACAAAAATGTTTTACCACAAAAGTGTTAAATGAACTGTTGATCATTAATTATAATAGAGTTTTTTTTGTCAATAAATAATAAATATGTTACTAAATACTATTTCACAATGATATATATATGTATAATCATAACAGACATGTCGTATAATGATAATATCTCATGAATCAGATAGTTATTATTTAAATAAGTTTATCTCAGTAATCATAGATAAGTAATCGATCATTTTATTCAAATAAAGATAAACAACACACAAAACCAGTTCTCTTAGAATAACGCAAAAGAATAAAACACCAAGTCACAATAAACGAAAAAAATTATATTTTCTCTAAATAAAAGTCGACATTTGTACATATATTGTACTTAAAGTACAAGAAAAATTCGTTTTTTAAAGAAGATATATGCAATTATAATCCAAAAAATACAACCCCATAATGCCATAGCAAGATATGCTGCATGTGTATTAGCAACAACCCATTGAATAGGAAAATATGTAGCAAAAACAATGTGTGCAATATAAATAAGAATTGAATTCGTTCCAAGATATTGAAATGGTGTTGCATTCCACCATTTTAATTTATCAATAATAATATACATTATTGAAAAACCCAAAAATGCCAAACCAGCTAGAAAATTAATAAATATTTCAATGAATTTATAATAAAGAAAAATATTTTACCAGTAAAAAATGAAAATGATAATGTCCAAAGATTTTTATTCAATGGCATTGGTCCACCATCGAGTGTACCTGAAGTAAGTCCAACACCAATTGCTGTTGTAAAAATACTCCAAGTTATAAGACGTATAAGTCTATCAAGATCCGATTGATACATAACTAAAATTAAAACAAAAGCAGTAAATATTCTATTGCAATATATAACTATTCAAACCAAGTATTCGTCCAGCTTGAACACCCAAATAAGCTAGGAAGATCGTTGGAATAACTCCAAGTAAATTTTCAGGATCAAATGGTGGTTTACAACCTAAAAAGACCTATAGAATTTTTTGTTTTCTCCATAATCTATATTTTCTACCGTAAACAAGTTGACATGATGGATATTGATAAAGATGTTTATCGGTAAGTAAAAACCGATCAATATAACCTGTTATACCACCAGTACAATTTTCATATTTACCATTTTCATGTAAACCACCTAGAAAATAAAATCTCCTATTTAATTTTATATTCTTACGTTAGCTAACAGAGAGAATTAAAATAGTATAAAATGCATTATTTACCAGGTCCTAGATAACCCGCTGGACAATTTTCAAATGGAACTAAATAGACAACAAGTATCCAAATGGTAGTTAAACCAATAATTGATAACCATTGAAGAGGAAAATTAGAAATATCTCGAAAAACAGTTGTTACACGTTTTGTTCGTCCAGTTTTAACTGTTGTTGTTGTTATTGTTGATGTATGTTTTCCATTATTATTTAAATTTGCTGTTAAAGAATATTGTCTTGGTCGTGTACAAAGAACTTCAATTGTACCAATAATACCATAAACAATAGCAAAACGTTGTAAAACACCAAGTATTCGAACATTATTTAAATCAACTTTAAATCGTGTATTAAGAATAAAACCAATCATCTAAATTTAGAATAAATAATATTGTTTTTCATATATAAAATAAAACATACAAATAATTTTAATGTACGCATAGCAACTTTCATAAGTAATGTTCGTTTTGATACACCTTTATCAAAAGCATTTTTTAATGAAAATACTAATGATGCTCCTAATATCCAGACAAATATTGGAAAAACAGTATCAGCAAATGTTATTCCATGCCATGATGAATGTTCAAATTGTGCATAACCACCACCACCATAATTAACAAATATCATTGCAATTAAAGCTAAAACAAGATCGATACTATATTTGACACAAAAATATTATTACTACTTACCAAAACCACGAAATGCATCAAGACTAAGTAAACGTTTTGATCTTGGTACAATAATTTGTGATACTTTATTCATTGGTAAGATTTTTGAAACATTTGAATTACATTCTGTTGTATTTATTGTATCAATACCAGATTGACAAAGTGTTGTAACTGGTGGACATGCTTGTAAATCATATGAATGTGTTGATTCTTGTGGTGGTACATGATTAAAACAACGATTTTTTAAATTTAATAAATATTCTCGTAATTTCATTCGTTGTGCAAATATACAAAAAATAAATATAGCTATTAAAATAACTCCACCAAAAATCAATGGTGTATAAACATTATCTGCTAAACGACGTGTTGTTAAAAGACATTTAAGACCAGAATCTGAACTTGAATTTATTGATGGTGTATTTGATGTTTGAACATTTAAAATATATTCACCATGTTCATAAAGAATAAGATTTTCAACACATGATGATACATTATTTAATTCAATACGAATTTGATATGTATATTTCGTATTCAGCGTAAGATTAAGTACTTGAGTAGATGATAAATCTTGCGCAATAATCTCATAAGGACAATCAAGACATTCATTAACAAGTACATATACTGTTAAGTTGTCTGAAATCTAAATTAGAAAATTTATACATAATGTTTAATGGACACTATAATGTTTAGTAACTGTCTCGGGGTAAAGACTAAAGATTAAATTGAAAAAGACACATTGACTAGAGCCCGGCGCGACTGTCCCGATTCCTATCCCGTCGAGAGCGGGATCAATATCTCGACTTTTCTCTCGATGGGACGGGATAGGAACTACAGAATCTGGAGTAAATACATTAATGGGTTTTAAGTCTGGATGAATTGTACTCGCAGAAAATGGTAACGGCATCGATAATCTCGAAAAAGTATTTTGCCGGAATCGGAATGAAAAAATCCAGATCCTAATATCGACTATGTTCTATTTCATAAACTAAACTATCCTTAAAATCTATTATTCTTACTTGATTATTAACAATAATATCGACTGAAGCTTGGTCAATACCCAATGGAATCGAATTATTAATATTAGTTGTATTTAAAGTCGATAAAGAAGGAGAAGATCTTGTTACAAGTCGATCTTCTCCATTATTAATAATTAATTGTCGACGAAATGGTATTAAATTACTTTGATTCGTATTATTCATTGTAAATGGTGATGAACGAATAGTTGCCCAGAAACTTGCACGATTTAATTCTTTTTTTTCATTATTTAATGAACATATTCGTCGATCATAATGTGTTGAATCCATGGATGAACTACCAACTTCATGTCCAAAATGAATCGATAGAGATGTTTGAAAAAGTAATAATTGTATAATAGAAATAAAATAAAAATTTGTATACATGATGTTTTAGTATTCACAAATTTTCTAATTTGTTAACTTCATAATGTTCAGACTCGATCAACTATCGTCATTGTAAGCATATGACTATATGATCTTTATTCTTCTGTTGTTCTCATTAAATAACGAAAAAAATTTCGTTCGAAACGAAGAAAAACTAAATCCTAAAATAAACACCCATCTCTTATTTTCTTAGCCATCGCTTTTTTCTTCTTCTATTCATTGAGACATATCCTTTCATTTTTCATTAATTATAACAAAAATTCTTATGATAAGACAAAAAGAAAAACGTGCTTATATTTTAACATATCATTTATAAATGATGACAAACTATTTTTATAATTGATAATTATACAATAAGTTATTATGAAAGATTGACTTGAGATATAGATCTATAGATATTTTACAATCAAACATAGACTTATGTTGATCGATCGCTTCTAATTAGACATAGTCAATTGACAAAATGTCTATTGTCAATCTAAATAAATATTAAACATGTTGTTATGTATTTTATCATGTTGTTTTTTCTTCTTTTTTTATTCGAATAACTTCTAACATATGATTATCTTTTAAACGTTCAACATCACGATCATTACGAACACGTACACAAGGTAATCGACGTAATTTATCAATGTGATCAATTTCAAGTTCATGACAAATAAGCGATGAAAGTCGTTCGAATGAACCCGTAGTTGGTGTTTTATTAAAATCAAATTCGACATAATCCGTTTCTAAGGGATCATTTCCAACACGACATAGAAGAGTAATTGTTTGAGTTTCAATAGTTGTTGGAATAGATGTTGATTGCGATGAAATATATGGAAAAACTGGATTTCGAAGATAATTTGGAGTTATAGGAAGTGTTGTTATTGTATTACAAGGCAATACATTATCTAAACATGATTAACAAAAATTCTAGTAATGTTATATATCGAACTAAATTCTTACTATCCGATGTTGTTGATTCTAAAACTTTTCGTAATACATCATTGTTACAAAGATGTGCGGGTGTTGATTTATCATTTGCTTGAATATCTTTATTTGCTCCATTTTCAAGTAGATATTGTACTACATGTGAATGATTTCGTTTAGCTGCCCAATGTAAAGCTGTCCTATATATAAAAATAAATTTTCAATTATCTGTAATATATACATTTTTTTCCTCTCACCATCCATTCATAGCATTTTGACTATTAATATTTAGATTTGGTTTATTTGTTAATAAACTTTGAATTTGATGTATATCACCATTACATGCAAATTCACGTAATGATTCTTCATCGGCTCGTTCAGGATTCATTTTTTGTATATTATTAAAATAGTAATTATTATATATACTTATTTATCTATCATATGTTTCTGACCAATACAATATTTGATATCCAGATGGAAGCAGATATATTTCAAATAAGAAAAAAAAATTCACTTTTATTTTAATCAAAACTAACAGTATGAAATTAATTTTTGAAATTAACAAAAAAAGAAAAATATGAATGTCTGTTTATTTGTAAATTAATATAAAACAATAGTATCATCTCGGATTTGTGCTAAACGTGCTTTACGTACTAATGTTGAATTTAAATGATTATTTGTTCGTGTATAAATTGGTTCAAGTGAATTTTGATCACTTGAAGATGTCACATTTATAGCTGATGGTGTTACAGAACGAGAATAATCAAAGGGTAAAAGATCATTTGTTCGACGACAACTTTGAGTATATTTTAATGGATTAGTTTGTCGTTGATCTTGTTGTAATGTTAGAATATGATTAAGTTCATTTAAAAAACGAAAATATAATGTATTTAAATGTTGATTTTGTGGTTCAGATGGAACAGCTAATGCTAGATTAGACATTGATGTTGATATAGATGATGATGAAGTATAAATAGGATCGCTTGTACCTTTACTGTAACTATAGTTGAAAAAAATATCTTTTATTAATCATCTTAAATAGCTTACTATAATCTTTACGAAATTATTTCTATCTAACAACTCCTTTAATGTCAAGTATAATAAGTAGTATCTATACTCTTTCGAAATATCACAGTGCTCTTATATAAGACCGAAGAATAGATGATAGTATAAATTTATTTCACCTTTAAAACATATTATTCAGAAAGACTTTATTTAAAACTGGAATTACACATAAGCAGGGGTGGCGCGAGTCAGCCAACATTGAGGGGAGGGGGG